TATATATATATATATAAGTTATTATACTTTTAGTTATAAATGATAAATATTCAAGCTATTCAATGAACAAGCTAAAATGTTTATTGAATTTTAAACCTTTTGTAATGTGATTGTCTACTAACATGTTTACCTTTGCAATGCATGAGAATTATTTATTTTGTATTCCTAAATTTATAATAAATAAATATTATAATTAAAATTACAAAAAATATATATTAAAATAAATATAAAAATAACATATTTAAAGAGATAAAGAGTTATAAAATATTGAAATAGGTAGTAGGAAGTAGGCAAAAAGTCATAAGGAGCCGATTGCAAGGAACAAGTTACAAGTAACAGGTAATAGGTCATAGGTAGCAAGTTGTAGATGATAGGTAGCATAAAATAAATAATATTGAGAAAAACTCAAGTCCTACATCGACTAGAGATTAGACAATTGAATAGTATATAACTGGAAAGCAACCCTCACCTTATAAGCCGGTTTTGTAGGGTTGAGTTAGGCTTAAATCCACTATTCTAAGATGATATCAGAGCTATCTTAGATTCTTAAAAATGGGTCATCCACCATTCATTGATACATGCACCATGGGCATGAGGGGATGTATTCAAGTCCTGTCAATCCTAGATCATTAAAAATGGTCACTTACCATTTATCCACGTACCAAGTCCAATAGTGCTGGATATGAGGAGAGTGTATTGGGAAAAACTCAAGTCTCACATCGACTAGAGATTAGGCAATTAAATAGTATATAAGTGAAAAACAACCCTCACCTTACAAGCCGGTTTTGTAGGGTTGAGTTAGGCTTAATCCACTATTCTAACATGGTATCAGAGCCATTTAGATCCACTTTAAATGGGTCACCCACCATTGATACATGTGCCATAGGCATGAGGGGGTGTATTGAGAAGAAAAAAACTTATTAAAAATGGGCCACCCACCATTCATTGATACATGCACCATAGGCATGAGGGAGTGTATTCAAGTCCCGCCATTAAAAAATTGGCCACCTACCATTTATTGATACATACACCATGAGCATGAGGGAGTGTATTCAAGTCCTGCCAATCCTAGATCATTAAAAAGGGTCACCTACCATTTATCCATGTATCAAGCCCAATAGTGCTGGACGTGAGGGGGGTGTATTATGAAAAACCTAAGTCCCACATCGACTAAAGATTAGGCAATTAAATAGTATATAAGTGGAAAGCGACCCTCACCTTACAAGCCGATTTTGTAGGGTTGAGTTAAGCTTAATCTACTATTCTAAGATGGTATCAAAGCTATCCTAGATTCTTAAAAAGGGCCCACCCACCATTGATACATGCGTCATAGGCATGAGGGGATGTATTGAGAAAAACTCAAGTCCCGCCAATCCTAGATCATTAAAAAGGGCCACCCACCATTTATCCACGTACCAAGCCCAATAATGCTGGACGCGAGGGGGTGTATTGGGAAAAACCCAAGTCCCACATCGACTAGAGATTAGGCAATTGAGTAGTATATAAGTGGAAAGCAACCCTCACCTTACAAGCCGG